TTTGGCTGTGGCCTGTATTGTTTATGACCCTTACAGTCTTGGTATAAGTGGGGAACCACTCAGACTGCTTCAAAACTTGGGGACATCTAAGGACACCTAAGGACATGACTCATGCACCTAGTGCAGTCACACAGTGGGACACAGTTATGTAACCATGACTTAGCACAGGCAAACATGTATATGCTGGTTACAGCACTCTGTAAGCATGTAAACGTGAAATAAAAACCTGTATAAGAAAAGACACGCAGCCCTAGCTCTCTGCTCTGCTGTCTCCATGCTGCCTGCTGTTGTTGTTGTCTTTTTTTTTTTTTTGTGGTTGGCTCAGCCTGCCCTGGGGTTGGGTCAGGCGTGGCATGTGTGCTGGGGATTGAACTGCAGTCCCTGTGCTTGCCTAAGCTTGCCTAAGCAGGTGCTTTAGTCCATGGAGCCGTCTTGCTGGCCCCTGTTGTTGATGTCTTGTACACATGTGCTCTTTAACTTTGGGACCTCACCCTCAGAAATCTATCTTGGGCCCTCTGAGTGGGTGATAGTGCACCAGGAGAAATCGCTGATTAAAGCAATCATGTCACCTTGGCTAAAGTAGTAAATTCAGCAGTAACAGTAGCATCAGCTATAGCCTAGACTAGACTGAGTTTGGCACCTTTAACTGTATGAACTATATTTGTAGTCATATGACAAAATGTAAAACCAGAAAATCATAGAGTGCATAATCCCTCAACATGGCAATTTTGCCCTCGGGGGAGAAAATTTATAAGGGATTGGGAGAAAAATAGAGAAATAGAAGAAGAGGATAAGTTTAAGGAGTGAGGCTGGAAAAAGGAAGATCATACAAACTTTGGGAAACTGGTGAAGAAGACAGGAGGGAAAGAAAAGGATGAAATAAAAACAAACCAACAATAAAGAAAATCCCTGGCCCCACATGCCGCACTGGCCCCGCCCCACCCTCAGACCCACTGAGCTGGTGGGACAAGGCATGGTGGTGTACGCCTGGTGGTGCCAGCTCTGGGGAAGCTGAGAACAGTAGGAGCACATGAGTCCGAGCTGCGTAGTGAGACCCTGTACCAAATATGTTAAAAAGTGTATATTAAAAAACAATCAGAAAAACTGTTCATACTCATAGAGAAAAAAGAACAATCAAGAAAAATGGAAAAAATCAGTAACAAGAATAGAAGAAAAAGAGCACATACTTCTAGGTGTGTCTCTGCTGTCACTGGTAGACAAATTGTGTAGACAGAGTCTGGGTCTGCGTTGATTCCATCAAGCCCACCATAGATGTATGGTGGGGTAGTGGATAATCCCAGCAAGCCTGCATCTTTGATTCTGCTGAAGTTCAGGCTGGTTTCTGCCCATGAGGCTGGAACTCACGTTGTGCAGCCTGAAGTCCTCCAGTTCCTACTGCTAGTGTGAACTCGGCTCCTTGACTTCTCACTGATCTGAACTCAGTTGCACCTGGCGCCAATGCCTGGCGCTGCTAGCTGGAGCAAACAGGTGATCTGAGTTCCAGGTTCAGCTGGCTGCTCCTTAGGGTGGGCGTGGGCCTGTTGCCCTGGCATGAGTTCGTCTGAGTCTTTTGCGTGTACTGCTGTGATCCCCTGGTGTGGTTCTCCACAGAGGCTCTGTGGTTGCTGGTAGTCACTGCATTTGCAGGTTTGGGCCATGAGTCAGGGCTCAGGGGAAAGTGCCAGCTCCGGCCCCGGCCCCGGCCCCGGCCCCAGCCCCAGCTCCAGCCCCCGCCCCAGCCCCACCCCCAGCCCCAGCCCCAGCCCCAGCCCCAGCCCCAGCCCTGTTTTCTTCGTTGCAGTCTGCCTTTGCTGTCCCTGTGGCCTTCAGTTCTTGCCTGGGGTCCTCGCCTCCCTCCTCTTCAGGTTGCTCCATTCCAGGGTGGACAGCAGCGGTGGAGAAGCTATTTCTTTGCTGTTCTCTCTGCCTCTTTGCACAAGTCGATGTCCCTTTGAAGACTGGATAGGACTCCCTTGGGTACAGATACCACATGTTCACTCTGTGAATTCTTTCAAGTGATTAGGGCAGGAGACTTTTGTTTATTGTGTTTGCACCACGATTCTTACCTAGTTTTCAATTTTTTGTCATTGTTTGGACCTTGTACATGTGTGTACCTTTGACACTGGTGTTTAGTATTCCCCTGGGATTTGTCCGTCATTGTTTGACCCTGAACTAAACTCAGGCGTGCAGGAGCCAGGTGACCCCGCTTCTGCCGGGGCGTCTTCTCCACGTTTTGCTTCTTTGCTTCGGGTCAGATAGGCAGCCTTGGGTGGGCAGAAAGTGTTTCCAGACTGCACTGTACTTTTCACTCCTTTGTAAGTCTTCTTGCTACTCAGTTTAAGCGCTTTGTGTAAGAAATCAGTGCATCATGCGGTGCCTGTGTTTCTAGGTAAGGTGAGAAGCAACATTGTGAATCTTGAATTTCTGTATGTTATTCTGCCACAAGCTGTGGTGCTGGCAGGGAGAGCCGATGTGGAGTACTTCCTGTGTGCTCAGCGTTGCCTCCCCTGCGGTGTGCTTACAGGTGCTGAGCTGTTTGTCTCTTCTCAGGTAGGTGACACTCTTTGGTCCTTTCCTCAGGCTGCTAGGCAGGACCTAAGAGGTGCACAGTGGTCGGTTCTGCTGCAGCCCGAGACAGGGTCTCTCCTGTGACTGGGTCCTGTCGGGTGGGGCCCAGGAACGGAAGCTTCCCCAGCAGTCTTTGTTTTGCCATCGAAGCTTTTAAGACCGCTGGCCGGTTTCTTTAGTCAGTCGCTGTAAGTTTAATGCGCCTGTCAAGCTAGGGAGTTGGATCATGTGCTGGCTATTGTGCTTTTTGGTCAGGCTCTTTATAATCCTGACGTAACTCCGTGAAATTTGGGTGAACACTAACTATTATAACAACTCTTTCTTACAGACAGAGCCTCCCCTGAATACACCAGAAAATAGAGAATATCTTGCAGAAATTATGTTTGAATCATTTAATGTACCAGGACTCTACATTGCAGTTCAGGTAAAAACAACGTTGTTTTTGTGATAGGTGAGTGCTAGGGCCTGGGGTCAGTCTCCAGAAACGCCCCCGCCTGACCCTAATAAGAGGAGGAAGAGGGATCCCAGCGTTGCTTCCTCCTTGACTCACAGTGCCTTAGTGCAGTGCGGCGCCAAGAATCCTTGTGTTGAATGATCTGTTCTCGTCCTTACAAGTGTCCTTCCCCATAGTCTTCTCTTGAGGTACTTTCGTTGTATGGAGTAAGGAAACACTCACGGCACACTGAGCTGGTGGCTCTCAGCGCATTCTGTGCTTACCTGGAATTTTTTTTTAGCCAGAGTCTCCCTGTGTAGTTCAGGTTGGTCTCAAGCTCACTGTGTAGCCCAGGCTGGCTTTGAACTCACACTAATGCTCCTGCCTCAGCCTCCTGAGTGCTGGATTTACAGGCGTCGGCTACCATCCCCAGCTTGTTTTTTCTTAAAAGTACAGATTCTTAACTCAGTGTTTTTCTGCCCCTGTGCTTTGATTGGATACTTCCAATCCTATTGGTGCCCTTGTCAGCATGGGTGCTTAGTAGCAAGTCTGGCCTCCGTCCACTGGACTACCACCAGCCTCCTCTCTGCTGGCAGGTGTAACAGTGAAAAGTGGCACCAGGCGTTGCAAGATGTTACCTGGCCAGCAAGACTGCCGTAGGGTGGGGACCGGGGTCAAGGACTACTGTCCTAAAGCTGCCAGTTAGACTTCCTGGCAGGAGGCCCAGCTGTGTGTAAGTTTCTGTGAAGTTTTTTACCACAGCCAGGCTGTGGCTCCATACAAAATCAGAGGAAGAGAGACCAAAACGTTCTTTTATATAAAGAGTTTTTTTTTTTTTTTATTCATTTATTTATTTGGTACAGGGTGTCACTACACAGCTCAGATTTGTAGTGATCCTCCTGTTTTCAGCCTCCCCAGTACCGGGATTATGGGCATGAGCCACAAGGCCCAGCCTTGGTCACTGGCTCAGCATGCCCCAGGGGCGGGGGCCAGCATGGCATGTGGGACCAGGGACTGAACCGTGGTCCCTGTGCTTGCCAAAGCAGGCACTTTAGTCTGCTGAGCTATCTCGCTGGCCCTATCATGAGTTTTTCACTGGTCTTTTTCTGTAAAACTTTAAATTTTTTTTTAATCTTTTATTTATTTATTTGGTACAGCGTCTTGCTGCACAGTTTAGACTCATGGTGATCCTCCTATCGCAGCCTCCCCAGTCCTGGGATTATAAGCATGCACCACCATGCCTGGTTTTGATGCCAGCACATCCCACCTGGGGGTCTGGGACTGGCACTGCATGCAGTCCTGGGGATTGAACCTGGGTGCTTGCACTTGCCAGGCAGGTGCTTAGACCGCTGAACTATCTCCCCAGCCCACTCTGTAAAACTTTTGATTTCTTTTTTATTGAAATCCTGACTTTTAGAATGTAAATACATGAACTTTGTGTGTTTGATGTCCACGTTGGAATTGTTGAAATTTTGAAGTGAGATGGAGGCTCAGGCAGGCAGCAGCTCCTGAGAGCCTTTCCTGTACCTCAGTGTTTCTGTCTCTTCCCCAGGCAGTGCTGGCGCTTGCAGCCTCCTGGACCTCCCGACAAGTTGGTGAGCGCACACTCACTGGGATCGTCATTGACAGTGGAGATGGAGTCACCCACGTTATCCCAGTGGTAGGTGTGCTAGTTCCTGTCTCACTCTGAGACTTCATGCCTGCTTTGAGGCAGGGGAAGAAAGAAAAAAATCCCAGTGTTTTTTGTAATTAAAAATACCATTTGAAAAAGTGGTATGTAGTGATGGTAATAAGAGTTTTAAAGACTTAGGTATCTGAGTTAGTTTTCTCATTGCTGAGACAAAATACCCAACACCCAAAGTTAAAGGAGGAAAGATTAGGGGCCAGAGAGACAGCTCAGTAGAATAAGCGCTTGCCTGGTAAGTGCCAAGGGCATGAGTTCAGTCCCCGGTTCCACAAAAAAAAAAAAAAAAAAAAAAGGAAGAAAGATTTATTTTGGCTCACAGCTCAGCAGTCTCAGTCCAGAGCAGGTCTGAACCTGACAGCCTGGCAGAGGGGCATTGCAGAGAGATGGTCCGTGGCATGGCCAGCTGAGGGCACGGAGCTGTGGCACCTGCCCCAGCAGCAAGCTTGCCTTCTTTTCATCCCTTTGTAGTCCATCCAGGCTGCAAGCCTGTTGATTGGTGTCACCCACCCCTAGGGTGGGGCTTTCGTCTCCCACATCATTGGTCCAGTGTCACACACCCTAGGTCAGCCAGCTTTGACCAAAGCCCCTCTTGTGAGTGCATGAGAATCTGTGATTCATCTAGACACAAGCCCATATCACCAGGTGTGTGAAGAAGTACAAAGAGGCCGTATCTGTGACTTTGGCAGTTTTAAAATTGTAGCAGCAGATTTCTGCAGTCGTCAGTCGGTGGGTGCTTGGGGCTTCCTGAGCCTCTGCTTAATTCGTGGTGGGTGTGGCCTCAACCCTGCTGCGTTTCCTGGTTTATTTCCAAGCTGAGGGGGAGCGGTGTGGTGGGTGCCCAGTTGACGTCTCTGTGGAAAGGGGTTGGCTCAGGCTGTAGAGAACCTGCTGTTGGATTATCAGTGTATTCTACAGAGCCATGGAGGTAGTTTGCATTTTGACATACAGAATGCTCTACAGTATCACTTTCTGGTTTTATTTTTTTTAAATATTAGAGAACTGACTCCTGTTTCAGGTTTCAGGAGACCTTTATAGTATTCATTTGGTCCAATGGATTGTAGATGAATTATTTAAAATTTAGTTTTTTGAGACTCGCTTGATTATCCGGTAGAAGGGCGGCTCACATTTCTGATCTGCTCATTCCTGGGCCAGGCCCTCAGTAAGGGTGAGCACTTAGTTTGCTCTGGACCTTACAAGGATGCTTTCTGCACGTTCTACGTATTATCTCCTTTTAACAATGCAAATTAGGGTTAAAGAATCTACTTGCTCTAATTGATTGAAAAGGCGGTCAGTGTTTTATTGCATTCAGGAATTTGAAGGAAAGCTTTTCAAATTTTGTACTGCTTTGATTAATGCCTTTGAGGTCAGAACTCCTGTAGTGGAAAGGCTTACAGGCATGTCCAGTCAGGGCCCGTGGTTGAACATACTGTGTTAAAATCAAAACCTAAAAAAGAGAAATTTGGTTAGTTATGAACGTTAACCATTATCTGTATTTTCTGTGTGACCCAAGATGACAGCTCTTCACTCAGCACAGCCTGGGCAGGCTGGCTGTGTCCCTGTGGGCACAGCTTGGACATGCTTGATGGTGACTTGCCAGTAGGTGACTTGGGGCTTCTGTGTGGTGTAACTGGGGACAGCACAGTGTGTACAGTGTAGCCAGATGTTACTTGCATGTTGCTCAGGCGTCAGAGACTGTGAGTGTGGCAGTGTGACACCCTAGGGGCCTCTGTCTGACATCTCCAGCACCACTGCCCCTCACCCACGCTGCAGAACCACAGATCCTGAGCAGAGCGCCAGCTCACGTTGCGGACTGTTTCTCGTTAGGATAAATGGAACGTGCTGTGGAGCGTGCTACGAGGTAGTGCCGCGTGTGCGGCACAGGGGTGTTCGTTGAATCTGCATGCAGATAACTGGGGGGTGTTTCCTGCCCCATGCTCTGGGTGAAGATCGTGATCTGGGAGCGCTCAGCCAGCAGACCTGGAGCAGGATTTGAATGCAGGCTCAGGCTGCGGACTTCAGACTGCTAGCTTTTATATATGTGTAGTTTTATAGCTGGGTTAGCAATTTATAAAGCTTTTCCTATTTGTTAGAAAAAAGAAATACTGTATTTACTGTTCTTATGCATGGTGTCATCCTTTGGAAACGAGCCACCCTGTGCCGTGGGGTCTCCCTCCGCATTTCTTTTTTTTGGAGATTACACAGGAAAATTTCTTGGAAAAAGGAAATGGGGAATGTAGCATAGGAGTGGTTCCTGAGACACAGGAGGGGTCCCGAGTGAGTGGCTTGCCTTCTCACTACATTTCTAATGAGAGCACTGCGTTGGGTGTTGATGGAGCGTCAGTCTGTTGGTGCAGTTTTGAGTTGTTAAACGTTAGGGAACTGCACATGCAGTCACTCGCATAGGCCCAGTTCTGGGCCTGCAGACCTGGGACGCAGCTCTTGCACAGGAGCAGGTGGGGCTTGAGGTGAGACGGTGGGCCTGGACTGCGGGGTCACTCACCAGCTGTTTGGCTTCCTTCCCTCCCCAGGCAGAAGGTTACGTAATTGGAAGCTGCATCAAACACATCCCGATTGCAGGTAGAGATATTACGTATTTCATTCAACAGCTGCTAAGGGAGAGGGAGGTGGGAATCCCTCCTGAGCAGTCACTGGAGACCGCAAAAGCCATTAAGGTAAAAACAGATGGGAAACCGTCCGGTTTGGGGGTGAGAGAGAAGTGGTGTCTGATGCTTCCCTGGGTGCATCTCCCCCTTCCTGCCTGCCGTCCTCTCCCTGCTTGTGAGTGTGGCCCCTGCCCTGTGAGTTCAGGGGGCTGAGGGGCTGAGGCTCAGCCTCAGTTCCACACTGTGGAGGCTCTGCTTGTGAGGAGAGCAGCTCAAGGTGGTGTTGGGCCACCTGTGTGTGGTATAGCGCAGGTTAATTGGCGCCTAGTTCATCCAACTTAGCTGACATCGCTTCCCTGTCTCTGCTGGATTCTGTGCCCAGAGTTCACAGCACTGCCTTTCCAGGATGCAGAACCACTACCCAGAGTTCATTGTGCCAGGAAGGTTGCAGGAAGCTGTAGAATTCAGCCAGTAAGATTAAAAGAAAATGACGTGATGCACGAGTTTGTATTTCTCTGTGTGTGATGTGTCAAATACCCGTTTAAAGGAATTTTTAGACCTTTAGGAAAGATCCATGTGGAAGGGATGGCTTGTAGTGCAAAGCTAATGATTACATAGTCGGAGAGGGGGGGCGTTCCGTGTCCTCACAAGGGAATTTCCAAGTGGCAGTGGTGGGAAGCCTTGGCATCTCCTGTCCTTAGGACTTAGCATTTGAGCTGTAGAGGAGCTGGGGGTGGGGTGGCATGTCTCATGCCCCCTTCTCACTGCTTCCCTCCCATCTGAGCAGCTATAAGCAAGGCGAGGTAAAAAAAAAGGAGACCTTGAGATGGTCCCCACGCTCTGACTCTGGGTGCAGACGGAGGTATCTGTAGAAAGGAGGGTAAAGATACGGCAGGCTCTTGGCAGGCTTTCTCGAAGTGGGCATTTGCAAGGACAGAAACTTAGTGCTAAGCCCCTGAAGTCCTGGGCATATAGGAGATAGTCCTTGTTCTCGGTGGAGGAGGTTTCAAGGGGTCACAGGCTTTTTTTCTTTTCTTTTAGTACTAGGAATTGAACTGAGGACCTTATCTCTGGCCCTATAAATCACTTTTTTTTTTTTTTTTTAAGATTTATTTATTTATCTGGTACCGGATCTTGCTACGCAGCTCAGACTCACTGTGATCCTCTTGTCTCAGCCTCCCCAGTGCTGGGATGTGGTCCGCATGCCATGTGGTCCTGGGGATTGACCTTGGGTCCTCGTGCTTGTCCTGCAGGTGCTTAGACCACTGAGCTATCTCACTGGCCCAAGCCTTTTTTTTTTTTTTTAAATGTATTTTAGTATAGGGACTATAAGGTCTAGCTGCACAGATTGGACTCTGATCCTCCTGTTTTCAGCCTCCCAAGTGCTGGGATTACGGACGTGCATCACTATACCAAGTCTCAGTCACTGGCTCATTGTGCCCCGGGGGCGGGGCCGGCATGACACACTCGGGATCAAATTCTGGTCCTTGTGCCTGTCTAAGTAGGTGCTTTAGGCCACTGAGCTATTTGGCCAGCCCTTTTTTTTTTTAAAGACTAAAATATTCCCAAGATTTCTTTTTCTTCCTTTGGTTTGCTTTTTTTTTTTTTTTTTTTGTAAGGTTTCAAAAATTTATTGACTTAATACTTGCCAGGCAAGCGCTTATAGATAAGATTCCTGATTACGTATATTCCACTGTCCGGGCAATGGTTATTTTTAAAACTTTATTCAGTATTGTCTTGACCATGATTAAAAGATGAC